CCTGCTGAGAAGTGCCACGTGTGCATGATGACTCCAGTGAAAAGAGCAGCATCAACCTACTGCTGTGACTGAAGGCTCGGCACTGAGCCCTGTGCTGCCCGCTCGGGGTGGTCGCATGCGGTAGCGTTCTGGGGTGCTGTTCTATCCACTTGGCCCTTTTCGATGCACATACTACAGCATCTCATTTACTCTGCAATATAAGGAGCCTACTGACAGGAGTGATACTAGTGGAGTGTAGTATGTCATCATGTCCAGGTGTTGACAAGATTGTTGTTCAGATCAAAATGTTTCTGCTGTTTAACACTGGAGCTCCAGTTTAGCTCATGTATTCCACTAAGCAAATGTCTGAAATAGGAGTAACAATGTCAGGATATACTGGGTTTTTTAACTTAAAAAGAATGCAAAGACAGGGATAAGGAAGGAGAGCAATTACACTGAAGTCTTTTTCAGGTGCACTAAGAATTCTTGCTGGGCTACTCTTCTGCTAATGCTTTTCTGTTGATTACTGTTTTGACTGCAAAATTTATGTTACAGGATCCCAAGTGTTAAATGAAATAGTAACACATTGCTAGAAATACGGAGTACGTGGCAGTCCGAGGCAAGGAGGAGGAGAGGGAGTAAGAGTGCTGTGGAGAGAACTTGAGAGCTCTGTTCAGTAAAAAGATCTTGCTGCTTTTAGAAACCACAAGGATGGACGACAAAGTAATTCTTCAGGTTTTGGAGAATTACAACTTCTGATGCACCATTGTACATCAATAGTACATTAAATAGTTTTTGACATTCTGGATTGTTCTTGATGGGTGTGCTTAGGTGTCCTAATGTTTGTGTTTACTTAACTGGAACATCAATACCCTGACAGTTGTCACCAGCATTGTGAGGATTAATTTTTGTTGTCTTGTTCCAGCATTTAATCAGTTTAACTCAAGAGAGAAATGCATGTCACACTATATGCTCCTTCGGATTCATAAATCTCTCTTTTGGAGATTAGTGCCCTGAACAGAGAGCAGCAACCAAAGCCAGCTCTCCACCTCTGCTGTTTGCAGGTGCCTAGCAAGCGGTACTAATTGAGGGTCTGAACTTCACCTTCTCTACCCTCCCCTCCCCACCCCTCCCCACCCCACCCCGGTAATTCAGGTTCTCAAGTTGCAGCGACGAGAATGAATGGACTGATGATCCCTGGCAGGCAGCACTGTTCTCATGGTAGCTGCTGACTTCGCAGTCAGTACGAGACTGCGTGGTTCAGCGTGGGGTTCAGACACCAGGACTCTTCGTGGAAGAGCTGAGCCATGCCCCCAGGGGCCTCTTGTCAGATTCTGTTTCCTTCAGCTCAGAGCAAATGTAGGACAGGCTGTAGGACGAGACCTCCGCTCCGTGCGTACGCGTGCGGCACAGGGAGGGGGTCAGGCTGTGCCACGGAGGGCCGAGGACACCGATCCCCGGCACGGCTCATTGCTGCTCTGCGGGAAACGCGCTTCTCGTGGGTGAGACCGCTGCATGCCCAGGAGCAGAGGGAGCTGGGTGCTAGTCGTCAGTTCAGTACTTCCTGTGACACTGCATCGGTTTGACAATATTGGGCAGAATCAAAGAGTAGCGGGAGCCTGTTCAGGTATAAAAGACTTGTGAAGAATTAGATTTGAAAGAGAGTGCTCTGGCTTTCTTCAGTTCAACCCTGTGAAGTGAAGGGAAAATTATTAGCCTGGATGGCCACCCAATAATATCAACAATAATGACCATATTGTTATGTCTTTCCCTTTGATCTATTGTTTCTGACCTACATAACCATGCAATACCTGTTTCTTCTGCTCTTTTTGTAGGAGCTGGTGGTGGCTCTAAGTCACCTGGTGGTTCAGTATGAGAGCAATTTCTGCACTGTCGCCTTGCAGTTCATGGAAGAAGAGAAGAATTACCCTCTCCCTTCTCCAGCTGCCACAGGTGGGTGCTTTGTGTTCGTGTGGGTGCCTAACACAATGAAATCCTTGCTCTTGGTGGTTTACTGAACAGCACCATTCCTACAAACTTGAGTGACATGGTGGGTAGCTCTAATGTCTGTTTAGCACTATAATACATTGCACTGGAGAAATGCATCCTCTGCTGAGTCCGATCTAAAACACAGCTATAGCTCACCAGCAAGTTGTAGAGACTGAACACCCTGTCAAATTCAAAGGGATTCTCTTCAGATCAAGATCGCAGTATATTTGTCAAGGCGGTACACAAGCTTACCAGACCCTTTTTTCCCCCCTCAAATTATACCTGAACTTCAGTGTCATGTTGATCTAATGAGAAGCCTCACCACACAACATGGCGAACCAGCCATACTCTTTGCTACTGTAAAGCATCAGACAGGAAGCAGTGAAGAACTTTATGCTCTGTGGTTATGGTCCCATCCCTTTGTTGTGTTTATTGCTTTATGTGAGGAATGAAAAGCCCTAGTGAAATTGTTGCTAACCTCATATTTTCTTTAGATGTTAAGTACCTTGGAAATCTTGAAGGATAATGGGACTGTTGCAATGGGAACTCAGAGACAAGAGGCTGTGCTGTCTCTGCAATGAGTAGTTTAATCTCCCTATTGTCTGTATAACTAAATCATATTAGAAAATAAGCTTCTCCATATCTGTCCTTTCTGCTGCAGGAAATAAACATTACATGCAGTTTATATAGTGCTTTTCCTTATCTAAAAGAATCCTGAAGAATTTGTAAGTAGGATGCACTGGAAGCATTGACCCCACCACCGTAGTGCAGCCACTTCTGCAGTGAAATAAAATACCTATTCTGAAGCCTTGGTACTCCGCGTGTATCCAGGAATGAAAATGAGAAAGTTTGGGAAAGTATAAGTACCCAGGTTATGGGTGAAATATGAGTTGAAACCAGGCCTGAAATTTGGTCAGGAAACTAGAATTTTCACAATGAGAAAATTTACCAGATTTTTAATGAGCAGAAGCAGACGGAAGGTTGCAAATGCTGCCTGCAAATGGCGTCTGCTGTAGCAGCGTGTCCTCGCACAACGTCTGGGCAGTGGCCCAGCATCGACCTGGAGAGAAGAGGCATCCCGCCTCCCTGGGTAGTCTGCAGGCACTGGCAAGGCTCAGCTCACCTGGTTTTATTGGATGTGACAAAGTCACAGCCTAAATAGCAGAGGCACATGGTCCGTGCTGATTACGTGCACAGATGATCCTTTGTCATACCTCGTTCTGTTTTAGCCTAAGGGGCAATGACTAAATCCTGTTCATATTGGTAGCATTTTAGTTATATATAAAAAGGCTATGACCGTTTTGGTTACATCTATAATTGCTAAATTTTGCCTCCACAGAGGGGGGAAGTTTGACGCCAGTGCGAGATGGTCCATGTACACCGAGGCTGCGGTCTGTCAGCTCTTACGGGAACATCCGAGCAGTTACCACAGCGAGAAACCTGAACAAGTCCTTGCAGAACCTCAGCCTGAATGAAGAATGTAAGAGAGATTTCAAAATTCTTTGATTACTTCCTCTTTACCCACCACTTGCAAGCTTGGAAATGCCATGTGCAAGACATCTTGTGTCCAAACTAATGCTTTAGCCCAGATTATCCAGCTGCCAGCCCCAAGGGCATAGATGAGACGCCCCTCATAATTAGTTTCAATTTTCTGGTCATTTGTATCGTGGGTTTTGGTTGGTTTTTTGTTGTTGTTGTTGTTTTTTTTTAGTGTTTGGGAACCAAAAAGGTGCCTTCCAACTTCCTAACATACATGGATTTTTAACTGAATCTTTTCTGACCCCTTGATGCTTACTCTGAATTTAAACATTCAGTGTTTAAAAGGGGATGTTGTGGGTTTGCCTACGCCTTCATTGAGTGTTGCAGGATTTAGAGAAGGGCTGCTATGCCTGGGTAAAAATTGTTCTCTCATCAGTTCTTGTTTCAGCATCTGCTTCCTTCTCTTTTGACAGCTGGAAGCTCTGTTGCATTTTCTCCTGGGAACCTGAGCACCAGCAGCAGTGCCAGCAGCACCTTGGGCAGCCCTGAGAATGAAGAGTATATCCTGTCGTTTGAGACTATTGACAAGATGAGACGAGTCAGCTCTTACTCTTCTCTGAATTCACTAATAGGTGAGTAGAGACTCTCTTACCCTTCCTCTGGTGTCCCCTTTCTTCACACGCTTGAACTAGTTTTTGTGGAAAGTTTGGATCTTGGCTCCTGTGAGAACTTACTCCAACAAAATTTCTCACACCACCAGAAATGCTATTGTTGTGTTTGGTTAGGCCACGTGCAGAGCAGAGTCCCTCCTGCTCTGATGGGGGAACTGGAAATGAGAGCTGTTGGCTCCAGCTGTATGCTTCACTGCAACGGCCAGCAGTCCTGTTAGGAATTTGAGCACAAAAATGCAGCGTACAGGAATTTGACAGCCACTTTCACTGGCTAGAGAATGAAAGCGAGGACTCCCTGTCCCGTGGACAGCAGCTGGGCACGCTGGCACTAGCTGCTTCCCCTGGTTATTGTTCATGTGACTTGTATTTCTGTACGGCACAGCCACTTTATTGTGTTAATCATCCAAGAAAGCCTTGCCTAGCTAATTTCCTATGCAGGTTTATATGTAATTGTTAAGATAGGACATAAAAAAGAAATCCCAGGCTATGTCTTAAAAGCAAAAAGACTGAGTATTTCATAGAAATCTGCTTTTGTGCAAAAAGTTCCATGGCTGATCCCACTGCCTCCAATCTCCTCTCCATTATTTCCTCCCAGATAAGCAGCTGTAACACCAGTAACAACACTGAACATTGCAACACCACACAACAGCCCCTTTCTCTCCCAGCGTCTGAGACTCTGGGTAATGTAGAGAACTCTGCAGAGTGAAGTGCTATAGCACAGAAGGAAGGGAAATTTTACTTGCATTTATGCAGCACATGGATGATTTGTGTGTAATGGATTATTTGCATTTCTTTTATAGAACAAAACGACTGTTTATACTGAGGTAGTTCAACTCAGCTGTTTTTCAAGTAACTTTCTCAGTCATGTCTGATTGCTACAATAGCAAATAGAGAAATGCTGGGGGAAGTCTCTGTATTTTCTTTGTAATCAGTAAATATATCCATATTTTTCTAGCCTTCAAAAATCAGTGAAAAAGAGTGGTGTAACCCAGAGAGGAGTCCACCTGGGTGATAGGCTTACCTTGACTGAAGCAGCATTTTGCTCTACTCTGTATTTTCTGGAAGGACTAACGGTGACTTGACTCTCCTGAGCTGAAACATTCTGGGGCTGTAATTCCTGAGTCCCTGTGACAGCTTAAAACTGTGTGTTCGTTAGAAACTTGATCAATTCATTTGCTTTCGATTGTAGGTAATGAATTGGATCTTCTAAAGCATGACAAGAATGTTAGGAAATTTCTCTCCATCTTAAGCTACAGCTTGAGTTTTCCTAATTTCTACTGGTGCAAACCAGTGTCTGCTTGATGGCTTGTGTGTGTCTCACAAGAGCTTTTCAGCACAGTTGGAAAAGAATCTAGAGGTGAGCTGGAGGTGAGTGAGAGAGACCTGGGAAAGCAAAAAGAGCAGTTCTCCAAAGCCTCTCTCATTCCTATTCAGT